AAGGTGTCTGATCAAGTACCCAGCCCTAAAGATAGTTGAACCATCCTTGCCATTTATAGTGACGGCGGGTGCAAGTCAATACGGCATAGGCGCAGTGGTGCAGCAAAATGATGGGAATGACTACAGGCCTGGGAAGTTCATGTATAGGAGGTTCGCCAGAAAATTGCAGCATCAACCTATGAGAGGGAACTGTTAGCGCAGGAGGAAGCTCTAGCTCACTGGGGACATTTTTTGTTACTAGACTGTTAGGTAGACATTGTACAGCTTATTCAAATCATGAGACCCTTGGTTGGCTGAAGGCGCAAGCACGTATGTCTACCAAATTAGCTAAGTGGGCAACTGGGATTGATGAACTCGACTTCGAGTTGAAGCCGATCAAAGGAAAGTAAACGTAGTCGCCGACCCGCTGAGTAGGAAAACTGACTTTTTCGGTGCCATAGTCACTTACCTCGACTCCGGGAGTGAGTAGCAGCAAAAGATTAAAAATGCTTACTCGAATGATCCCTACCTACATGAGATCATCGTCAAGGTGAAGGATGCCCCACGTGAAGTCCCGGAGTATAGGATGGATTTTTGTTGGCAAGGACAAATGTAGAAGAGAGGCTGTGTATTCCAAATGACAAGGAAATTTGTAGTTTTATCCTAGGAGAATGCCATGATACAAGGGCACTTCGGTTGGATAACCTACTCTGTTTGTACACATGGACAACATGAAGAATGACTACATTCTGCCCAAGAATGTACAATGCGCCAATGGACATGAAGTCCCGGAGTATAGGATGGATTTTTGTTGGCAAGGACAAATGTAGAAGAGAGGTTGTGTATTCCAAACGACAAGGAAATTTGTAGTTTGATCCTAGGAGAATGCCACGATACAAGGGCACTTCGGTTGGATAACCTACTCTGTTCGTACACATGGACGACATGAAGAATGACTACATTAATGTACAATGCGCCAATGGACCATGAGTTCCACTCAACCCCCAATAGGGTTGTTGAAACCCTTGCCGATATTGTTAGGTCCCGAAGACTCAGTCTCCGTTGACTTCATGGATACTAAGGTCAAGAGTCGAAATGGGAAGATTTAAGTAATGGTAACTGTAGGTAGATTCAGTAAGTTTGCTGTTTTTGCTACGCTGCCATTTGAAGCAAGGATAGACTTAGTAATTCGGGAGTTCTTCAACCATTGGGTGAAGGACTACAACCATACATTATAGTTAGCGATCGAGATGTTAGATTCACTGGCAAACACTGGTAACAGTTAATGTGTATGGGTCGAAGTTAACCATGTCATCCGGTAGACATCTGGAGACGAACAGACAGACGAAACAGACGAAAAATGGATCCTTCACATGCACACAAGAACAAACCAGATAGATTGGGACGAGCGCTTACCTAAGGCAGGCAGCGCATATAACAATCATTTGCACTTGGCCACTCCATGGACCACGAGCGAGTTGCACAAAGGGTGGCACCTGAGGAGGCCAATCAATTTTCTGAACCCCGATCAGATCCGACGATTGCGGTCGTGCACTAGGGAATTTGCACTGCGATATGAGAAAGACCTACAGAGAGTCGCAGACAACATAAAAAAGGTTCGACATCAGATGGTAGAGCAAGGCGAACAAACACCGAAGACCGTCTAGATTTGCTGTTGGAGACCTTGTGTGGGTGAAATCAAAGGAGTTCTTACCTGAAGAAGGAATTTCTCACAAGTTGCTACCTGGCCATGGGAGGTTATAGATGTAGTAAGGGATCCTGATGGTCCATCCTACACCATTGGTATCCCGTCGCGTCTGCACACATACCCAGTCTTCCATGCGTCAAAGTTGCCGCCTTGTGTTGTTAACCATGCATTTCCCTTGCTCAGATCAATGATACCCCCGGATATGGATGGAAGGTACCACATGGACCATATTGTGAATGAAGATGTATACAGGTCCGGTAGGAGGGGAAGACCGCAGCAGCAGTACAAGGTCCGATTCCAATACCAGGAACTACGTGAAATGTTGGATTTTTCTCGGAGTACCTCGAAATTAGGCTGGCAGGAGTGAAAGGATTTCACGATGTGTCGTTGTCCTAAGTGCTGGTCCCAAAGTCCCACTAGGTCCCAATCCCATGGATCCCAGTTGGTGCCACTCCTGAGGGTCCCGGTAGGTCCCAGTCCTAGGGTCCTAAAGGGCTGTAGGATTCCGGTAGAGTCTGATAGGGTCCAAATGTCGAAAGTCGTAGGTCGGTAGAAGTCTGGCCCAGTACCCGACAGTAAAAGTCCAACTCCCGAAGTCCATTTTGCAGTAGTGTCCGGGGAAAGTCTGGTGACTTCGGGAACCAACAATTGCATCCAACAGGCCATGGGGGACCGTTACCGGTCTGGAGCAGACAAAGACCATCGAGAGTTGCTATACATAGATGCTTCGGTACCTTTTCGGGTCACTTGTCAGTTCGAATTTTGTGGAAGCTCTGTTGTAGTGCTTGTGCGACCCACAGGTTGGACAGTCGGAGGTTGACAAAGGAAGAAAGGGCGATTAGAGCCATAGCTAGGGTTGAGCAGGAAGGACAACACCACCATAGCCAGTAGGGTAGAAGGAGAAT